CAGTATCAGTAGCAGTAGCAGTAGCTATAGTTGTAGAGGTAATAGTTTTTTATTGGTGTCACCCATCTGGCATGCCTGTGGCAGTTCCACGGGGCCTGGACAACGTACGAATCACACAACATGGTGCTTTTCACCTATGTGTACCAGCTAAGGGGAGTGGAACTGCAGCTGAGTGGCTTGGTGCGCACATCCGGCGCACCTCGTGGTGCAGCACTTCAACTCTTCGGCTTCCGGACTGTTCAAAACGAGTCCGAAACTCAACATCTCTGCGCCATATAGTTCGAGAACTTGCTGAAATCGGTCATTCCTCACCCTGTGATAGCAGGCCAGTGGCTCAATCGTGCCAAGTACACATGGCCCAGGTATAGGGATCCTGTCGCCGCATGCTCTAGCAGCAGGCGAGGCTTCTGGCACGGCTTTCTCAGTTAAGACACTCTGCGTAATCACCTGCTATAACCCTCGCTTTCCCCCTTGGACGCAGTCAGGAGGTTTGTCATGTGTTGCCGGAAGCGGGGATCCTTCTGCTAGCCCACTGAGAAATCTCAAGAGTATCATCAATGGTAGACCTCGGATGTGTGTGTCTGGCAGGTCAAAGCAATGATAGTTAGCACCACGTACAAGCACCATCATCAGCAGCGTCGATATGCGTGTCGTTGTGTCAAAAGCTTCCGAGACATACACGCAATCTACTGCCTCATGCTATCACGCAACTCCTGGCAAGGAGGCTTGTAAACCTTTCCGCCAGCATTATCATGCACCGTACCAAGCTGCTTGATATGCGTAGGGCAAGGAGAAAGCCGATGCTGCAAATGAATACCTTAAGCACAGACGAAAGAGCTTTTCTCTTGGTGCGACCTTTTCGGCCTGTTGACCATTTTCGCGCCTGTTGCCGCAAGGACTTGCAAGCTGGTCAAGACATCTCACTGATCTCGCCGGCATCTTTTTTAATGCAGACAAGCGACTATCGCACCTTATAAGCTGCTCATAGATGCGCAGCGACGGAGCTGATTTGCGCAGTCTTGCACTCGTTGCTTGTGTGAAGCTCCAACTCATGCGAAATGACTACTCCAACTCAGGCACATGATGCCAGAATAGTCTCTTTCGGCTTCCTGGGGGCGAGTAGGCCAAGCAAGTACCAAGCTTTGGGGTTTCATGCGGGTTTTAGAGGGTGTTATAGGCAGGTAATATGAGGACTCAGGTCCACAGCTCCTCAGCATGTATGCGCCCACCAGAAGAACGCCGAACATTCCCCCGAAGGGTTCGGAGGCCAGCAGGAGGCCAGAGGCCAAGCCTGAACATGCACAGAAGGGCGGATAGTGAAGGCTCTCGTAAGGGAGACAGACTCGAAAAGGATACCTGGAAAGGTCGGAGGAGTACTGTGGCAGCTGAATAGCACGATCTGAATCAAATGTGGCCTTGGAGTCTTGGGAGCTACAGTAGCTGCTGCACCGACACGGAGCCCAGCTTCCGGCCTTCCGAAGGAATCTTGAAACTTCCCCAGGCAAACGTCGACGTCTAAGTGCGACAAAAGAGGACTTAGAGTGTAGATTCAGTGTAGATGCTCTAAAGGCTTACCCTTTCGCTGTCTGCTATTTGTCTTGTCTTTTACGCTGCAAGCCAAGGCCGCAGCCGTCGGAAATGCGCCCTGGCCCTTCAAGCCGTCGATAATGATGTGGGCAGTGGTCAAAACAGATGTCCTAGGCTGCGCATTATCCGAGATTTTGTACGAGAAACCTGCTGTCCGGGAGCATCTGCTATCTGCTATTATCTGCTGAAGACGGGGTAGCGTGCGTATGCGTGCGCAAGCCGTGAATGATGCTCTTCGATGACAGCCACGCGGTGCTCATTGCTCACGGCAAACCGTTCCAACAAGTACACTACAGTAGCCTTAGGGATTGCACGAGCGAGCCGGGCTTTGGTCGAAACGGCGGCTTGAAAGATGCTTATCGGGCAAGCACGACTGGCCTGTGAGCGGGTTTCGCCCAGCGTCACATTGATCTTCATGAGGACCATGAGCAAAACCTCAACTTCGAGCGTCACGTCATCCCGAACAACTCGCTGCTGGACTGAGAAAGCTGCACACCTACATACACCTACGAATTTCACGAAGAGTGGCTTGAAGGCTTGATCATTTCGGAACGGCTGTCGGCACCAACAGAAACAAAGTCTCGTTGAATTATAAGCCGGAGACGTAGCCTACGGCTAGAGCTCGCAGTATTACATGGAGCACCGTTCAAACGACACGTCTCTGAAAGGGGCTCAGAAGCCGACTTCTGCTGTCATGTCTTTCGGCCTCTAGATAAAAAGCTTGTCACGAGTATTTTTGGGCATTTCGGAACTGCACAACTTCTCGACATTGACAAGCTGAGGGTCAAGAAGAAGAGTCAACGACAACGGCGGCATCGTGCGGGGCGTGCCGAAGGACGAGCGCCTGTTCGACCCAATGGGCTCAGGACAAGAAGCCACTTCACAATTCAAGGCTGAGCGGCTACTGTCTAATTACAACATATAGTCTCAAGGAGCTTCAAGTCTGCTGCCATCTTGCCTGGCTCCAGGATCGTATGCCAAGGGCGACGCATTCCTCTCGCCAACGATTAGAGAAACTGTAGGTCAGAAGCCGTATACCCTGTGCGAATCCCCATCATCTGAGCGCAGAAGTTAGCACATGCTCTGATGCACCTTTTGCGGTTTGCTTCGGGCACTGTAAGAGCTGCCCTCAGGGTCCTTCCCAGCCAGAAACCCAATAGCATCCTGGCGACGGTTGAGGAAGAGGAGGTGGGACTGTAGCAACAACAACCATTACTTGGAATCGCGGCAGTATCTCATTATCTTCTACTGTCAGTGCTTTTGTGCAAGTCATGCTGTCATGCAATTATAACAGACTCTGATGCTTCCCCAGCGTCCCCGAGTTGCAGCAAACGATGAGCAGAAGCACGAGTGCCACCGGAAGCCTCAAATGTGAACGTGAACACGTCGGACGCACGAGTCGTACAGGTTTGAGCGAAAGCTTTGCACTGCCGAAGCGGAGCTCAAACGTTCTACTTGCAGTTGGAATGCATCATGAGGAGCAAGACCGCAACATGAAGCTTGCTGAAGGTGACAACTCCGTCCGTGATGACCTGAGGGACTACGATTGCAGCGACCGGTGGCGTGCTTTCGGCATCCTGTCGGACCATAGAAACGTCGCAAAAACCTCTGCAGAAACTTCCGACGGCGGCAGCAACTCATAGGACTCATAAGCGATCGGGCGGCACAATGCTCAGGAATGTCTCCCCCAACCTCTCCGCCATGCACCTTGGTGCAAAAGAAGGTGCTCGTCTGTCGCAGATGTGAGGCCCTGCCGGAATGGGGCTCGTTTTTTTTGGATGCAGGGCTCGGCAACTCTGCCTTCGGAAGTCTGTAGAAGTTAACTACCCTCATACCACCATGCACGCAACCTATGAGTCGCGAAGCCAAGCCTTATTTCGAACAGAGAATCGTCACATGAAGCTTTCGCTGCCATGAAGAGAAACCTTTTTCTATCATCCGAAACAGCCGCAAAATATCAAATCTCCTGTGCCGGAGATCTTGTGGAGAGGTTTCGACAACTTCAGCACTTTACCTGACTTTACCTTCGATTGGCGGCATGCCCGGACAGCTTCCTGTTTCAACACAATCAAGAACACGAAGCACTAAACTTGGTCTTTGCGTCAAAAGTGTGTCCAAGATGCGGGAGGTCCAGCAAGCATAGCCAAACCGAATGCGACAGAGCTCGTCCTGCGGCCAAGGTCGACTCGCAGTCTTGACTACTGAACGTCTTGCTCGTAGGAGGCTTGGCACTGGTAATGCTCATGACAGGTGTGATCGCGATGCTGCCAGCAAAACACACGTCACAACTTGTCTGAAGTCCTTGACGGCTTGCCGGTAGGCTGATTCGACCTGAGTGTACTTGGAGGTGCGACGAGTTTTCTTCCGGCGGGCATCGTCCGGATCCTATCAAAATCTCGGACGCTGCGCCGATTCCTTACTTGCCTGTCGAGATGCGGCTCCTTCAGGTCCTTTTTTGGGTTGATAGTCAGTGCAAGCCTCCGTGCGATTATCAGCTCCATCGTGCATGTCCCATAAAGGCGCTCACAGGGGCAAAACAGTCCGAACGGCAGCACCAGTTGCCTTGTCTTCCCAGAGTCGTCTTTGTCGGACTCCTTGTTTTCCTGAAGAGCGTACCGTATCTCATGACATCACGGCGGGAAGGGCAGGAGGAGGGATCAGGGGAAGGGGTGGAGGAGGCGCACGCGCGCGCCCCCTTCTCGCACGCCCTCGCCCAATGAATGAGCGAATGCGTCGCCCTGAAACATGTCTGCGTTGCCCGACTCTGCCCCTTAAATTCAACCACCTGCATCCCACCTCTTTTTCCATGCAGGCCAGGGGGCGATGGGTATCCCAGCAGCTGTGGCATTTTGCAGCGGAAAAGACAAAGGCCGGAGGGCATCCTTCATCAGCCTCAAGGCGGTTCCCGCCCTCGCTCTCTCTCGCTTGCTGGGCCCTGCACAACCTTAGAGTGGACTTACAGATGAGGAGCATTGAGGAGCCATTCCATGCAACAAGGAGGTAACTCATCACAGGACTACTGGCTTACAAACGGTGACCGTCGAAATGCTGACCCCGAGCTATGAGTTCTACGCATTTCGTTCTACAAAGATTGCTGCCCAGGATCGCTTCCTCTTCCAGTGGGCCTCGGGTGCTTCAAGACTGCCCCGTGGGTTTCGAAGGCCTCCTTCATATTTCTGAAACTCCAAACCCGAGTGCTCGATGGCATGACATCGGGGAGTACCCCTTCATCTTGGAAAAACCAATTCCAGGACCCAGGGCATCCTTTCTGGCGAGCCGAAGTCGGAAAGCTAAACCTCAACAAAATGGCGTCTTGCAGTTTGGGTCCGGGTAAAGCCTCAAAGCTCCGATCCCAAATCATAACAAGGGCCCATTGAGGGGTGCTGGCAAACTCTGGACCAACACTCCCAAAATGAATTAATAGCCCCTCTTTCAGACAGCGCTGAACAGGACCCGTCCTGTCACCGAACAGGACAAGGCGCTCAGCGGCAGCGGTATCTGCACGGTTTCCTGCCAGCACGCAGGATAAGAAGCAGCCAACATCCGCAGGCCCTGGCTAAAGATTTCGATGGTGACGGCGCCGCTCGCAGGCGAGCATGTTCGTTTCAAGCCTGCTTGCAGTGGCAGGAACCAGCACGGAGAAGGTCCTCCTGCAGGTGCAGGCACACCGCAACAAACATCGAGCAATATCAACAACAACCATCAAGGCTGAGCTCTTGCTGCAGAAACCAGCTCCGTTATTCATAATGCTCCGTGTATGCATCTTCGCTGGGCATTGGGGGCATAAGAGGCTGGCCTCCAGCTTCAACCGTCGCGTGTCCTTCTGACCTTTGGCAGAATTCGCATGCAGCCTTCTTGGCCAGCAACACCGGTTCATGCGGCGAAAGGGACAGCTGAGCATGCGGAGCGGAAGTCGTGATAGTGGAGATTTGGACTGATGCCCCACAACCCTGTGGTCCGGACTAGCATCGCGACGGGAGGTGCGACCACCAGCAAAGCTAAAGCTGAGAAAGTCGGCCTCCGGGGGTTGCACAGTGCAAAGCCCAGCACCATGTTCTTTCCTTGTGCTGTCCGCTATGTCGGAGGAACCCCATGGGCCTCATGTAGCTGCCACTCATCTTGCGCAGTGTACGTGGCCTCATGCTCACACGCTCCACTGGGCTCAAACGTCGGATTGAAAATCAGAAAACAGAAAACCGCCAGCTGCTTTGTTCGCGGTGAATGCGGTGACCCCACTTCCGGGATGAGCAGCCTGTGCTGATCGAGAGCATCTCCAGCTGCCTCAGGGCTTCAGCTCAAGAAGGTATGGATTCAACTGAAATCAAGACTGCACCCGGAATTCTGCAGTCATTTCAGCGCCTCTGAAACCAGCACCGTGCAAGCATGTGCAAGCAAATATGCAAGCAATAATCAAACACCCATGTACAAGCTATCCCATCGCATGTTGCCTGCAATGAACTGTGGTAGCTGAAAGCGCGGAGTCAGAGAGGAAACTGAAGTGACAGCTCCGGCTGACAGAATAGCTAGGCTACGAACGTGAAACACTTATTGTCCTACCATGTGGAGCACATGGTGAGAGCATCAAGCCCTTTGCCTGATTGAGCAGTGCAGTGGCGGTTCTATTGGCCAAGCACGCCAAGCCGATAAACTCAAAGCATCTCATAAGCAAGCAGTCTGTATGCAAACGTGTCACCAGATTGCGAAGGACACTCGCCGAACGCCCAACACTGGCATGTCCCATATCCTGACGGAGTCAGCACGCACTGAGAGTGCCGTACTTTCCCACAACTGTAGCTTCTCTGACTAGGTCGCGCTTTCGAAGTATAAGATTCTTTGCGACGGCTCTGCTGGAACGTACTGGTCGACGCTCGCAAGCTTGAACCCAAGCAGCTTCCCCATAGTTCACCATGCTTTAGCCAAGTTTCCAAGATTCGGCCGGCAAGCTAGCTGATCGGCTGCTGCTTTGAGAACGACATCCACGCCGTGGCAAAACGGACGCCATTTGCACTTGCAGGCGCCCTCCTGGCGAGTTCAGGCTTTGCCTTTGGAGGCATGTGAGGAGTTGCAAAGCCCTCGGCGCCTCCGGGATGCAGCTCCAAAGGCTGTGTGTGGTTCTGCATTGCCCGGCCTTTGAGTACTAACACATCGGCTTCCTTCAGATCCTAAGGCACCGCTGGCAGGTGCCTCCAGGCCCAGGAGGTCGCAAGCCTCGCCGACGGCGTCGGGCACCTCTTTGAAGCCGAATGAGCCGAGCAACTGGACCCTGCCGTTTCTCCAAGGGTCACGTCTCTGCTGGGTGCCGGCACCATGGAGACGTTGTTCAGCTCCGGAATTGCGTAGTGAACAAGATCACAGAACCTTAGCTATACAGCAACGGCCACCCCTGACAATTTGAACATCACGGCTTAAATGACACGTTACGATGCGATCCAACAACCATGACCCAAGTTATTTCGTTGTTCAGTTTCTGCGAAAAAAGTTACCCAAGCCTTGTCCCAGACACGTTTGAGACCTGTTGGCAGGCTGAGTGCCGACTTGACTGGCATTTTTTGTAGCGACACCGGCGACACCTGGCGCAAAAGCTCTGATTTTTGTGCTGGGGCCCAAGAACTTGCAAAATGCCAAGCAGCGAACGGCACCTGATTTCGAAACCGAGGTGGCTGACGTGTTTGGCCCGACGCTGCCGCCCTGGTCCAGGGGCTGGGAGTTCGGTCGCTGGACGGAGTAGCACAGGAATCTGAGATGTTCTGAGCCTCATCGAAGGGCTCCTCCACTCTGGGCCGCACGCTGCCAGCGCTGTAAAAGCATATCAAGCCCAAGAGATGCGACCTTGGACCCCGACTCTGACAAGCGAAGTGACACAAAAGACTTCCCACACATGATCCGACGATTAAAGGCACATGACGATGCACATGTGACGATGCCCCAGATCTCTTTTCCGCAAGTGGCGAGTGTCCTCGCATTGCTTACCGAGGGAACATTGGAAACATCATCATCCCCATCCTGAGCCGCAAGGCACGCGATCCTTCACACTACGGACTGTCGTTCAAAAGAAGCCCGCAACTGTCAGGAGCAAATCTCTGCTGTGCAGCTTGCAGCTGAGCGTCGGTGGGCCAAAAGGCGTTCTCACTACTGGCGCTGCCGTCGTCGTGGTTGTTGTGGTTGTGGTCGTCACCGTTGTGGTAGGGATTGAGAAGGGGCACTTCACGCTATCTGGATAGGTGGAACTGAAGTTTTCCGACATGCAGCATGAGCAGGTGCAAGTCTCTGCTGCAGCATCATCTGGCAAACCATTGTACCATTTGTTGGAGAACACCGCCGTACCTGGCTGCAGGAAGACCTCCTGACATACTCGCGTTGCTGGTGCCGCCCCGTGGTAGGCCAATTCCTGAGGCGCTTACGACATGTCCACCCTTTCAGTAAATGCTGAACTCACGCAGGGGAGAAACGCAACGGCGAAGGGCTTCTCACAACTCCAATTCGCTTGTGCGGTTGCTAAGTGCATTCAAGAAGCAACAGGCAATGTGCTGTACGTCTTTGCCTGCGGAGAGTCCAAGCACAACAGTGATCGTTGACTGGCCTACTGATTCGACTATCCACTGGCCTTACATGCATCGAGGGCAGGCGCTAGTTCGCCGTCCTGGCAAGCCACGTTGCAGTTCGTAGATGAGGCCAGGCTGCAACTCAGAATGAATCGGGCACGCACAGAGACGCACATGTGTACATGTGTATAGCCGTGTACAGTATGTATGCAAGCATCATCTGTCAGCGTGCTCCGTATAGTCCACACCTAGACTGTCCGACACACACACACACACGAGATCACCCATGTAAATGGGCAAGCTGTGAATAATGAAGACGAAGATCTGCAAACGACAGACTTTCAACAGTACAATTCGGGCATGGACCGTCATGGTCATTGTCGCATTTGCTGTCGCAGTGGTTGTGGATATTGCTACTGATTCAAGTCCTGTGGTTTTGGTGCAACGGATAATAACTTTCGTTCAGAGGCACCTCTGGCAAATTCTGGGCCCGGCCGGACAGCTTGTAGCTACTGATTTCAGCCTGCTTCCATCATGCTCGGCAGTTCCGAGCTAAGTCACATGACAGTCTTTGTTCGTGTGGCGCCGTGAGACTTCGGGCATAACTTCTGGTGGCCTGTTAATATGGGGGGGCGTGGATGTCAAGCGGTCTCCGGTGACGGGCCAGCTTCGACCGGAAATAACACATGACTCATACAATCACATCTGATGCACTCGGGACAGGAGAGTCCGTAGTGCGCAGGGCGCCGCCTGCCTCTAGCAGGAGTGCCGATATCAGGCACTCGATCCGAAGGACGGCCCTCCACTCGACCTGCAGTGGTTGCCTATGGCAGCGACACCCGCCACCTTTCGGACTGCCTTGGAGGTGGCTTCGCCCTCCTCCGCCAGGGCAACTACGGACCCATAGAGCTGCACCTGAGTGGGCCGAACGCCAAAGCTCAACTCAGCGATTGGGCATCCTGTCTGCTCTCTGGAAGTTCTCGTCTTAACAATTTGTTACAATTTGGACGAGGGCGCCTTCTCGTCGTAGCATTCCGTATACTTGAGACAGGTGTAATTCTTGTGCAGGCCGCAGGCCTTGTCCTCAAACGATGCCTGCATCAGAAGATCAAAGTTTCGAGACTTTAGACAACCAAGGGAAGTCAGCAAGTTTTATGAAACGACCAGAGAGTTGTGTTTGCACAAATACCTACGTACCTACATACCTAAATACATACATACATACATACATACATACATACATACATACATACATACACACATATACACACACATATACATATATATATATATAATTATATAATTATATATATATATATATAGAGTTATATTTATATGTCTCTCTGTGTATCTCAGCATTTGCATACTATACACATATCCTTACCACGCTATTCTGCGTGGGATCTAGTCAGTCCTGGCCTGTTTCGTGTCACAGGCGATCTTCTTGTCGTAGTAGCTGCAGATCTTCTCATGGCAAAGGTCCTCGTTCTTGAAGGGGGTGGCAGTGGCATTGTCACACTTCAATTTTTTGTCCAATAAGTCGTTGTATGTGTCTGTATAGAACCTGAGCGAAGGCAGCACTTCGACAGCACAACTCTCACCTGGAAGGATCTCGATGTGGCTCATGCAAAACCACCTGCTATGTCCACATCTCGTTGCAGGGAAAACGATTGTCTCAAAACCACGATGCCCTTGCAAACCAGCCAGGCTGCTTCTCCATTTCCAACAGGTAGTTGCCAATGGTCGGGGTAGCAGTGCCCTCCGACATCTCACAGGTCTTGGTTGGACTGGGGAATACCTGAGACGAAAGGCGTGTTTTCCTAAACCCTTGTGCCGCCTTCACCCTAGCATGCACACCGGGTATGGAGACAGCACTGTACCTGCAAAATACTCGACAAGACTTAACCGATGGAAAATCCGGGCAAGCATGCGAGAAAACTCATCCAGGCCACCCGTGCCGCCTCATAGGCATCGCAAATGGCCTTCTTCTCATTCTCCCAGAGCTGTCGTGCCACAACGCAAGCTGTGTCATAGTCCGCCCAGATGGAATCCTCTCACAAACTCAGCCGTTCTCTTTCTTCTCTCCGTGAAGCAAAGCCCTACCAGGAATTTGCTGTCTCGTATTGCACATGAACACCAATAAGAAGCACGCCTCCTCTAGTCGGCAGTTCGAATGCTGTGTCGACAACGTCTTCAAACCTGCGTCGTAGTCCTGCGACATAGGCGAGGTTTCGGTCCTGCTTTCGTGAGTTTGAGCATCTGCGGCGGTAGGAGGGCAGGAATCTGCTCTTCAGATTCCCTCTGCAGCAAGCGCTTTCAGGAATGACCCACTGCTCTGACGGCTTGACATTCTCACGCTCCAAGCCTCTTCAGCTCAACAGTTCTACGACCTTGTCGCCGGAGAAATGTGCAGCCGGGGCACTGTATCGTTCGGGTGAAGGCACGTGCTGAGGTTTGCCCACGCCTGGCCAATGCTCGACACACCACATGCACACTCGTTTAGATAAGATGAATGTGTCTCGCTAAAAGATGCTCTGCTGGCTGTCAGAGCTGGAACAAAGGCAGGCTACGAGCCTCGTCTAAGTCTTCCTGAGTTTGGTTCCTGCGGAGCAAGATGTTTGCCTTCCTTGGGTGGCATTTTGGCACAGCGCTTCAGTGACTCTGAAGAGGGGATGCTTGCAAGCCAAGCTCGATCCAAGGAAACCCTGACAATGTTAAACTGCTGTCTGCATGCTTGCGTACCTCTGGCAATCGAGGGGCCAACAAAAGGCTTGCGGCTGTAAGCTGTGCTTCACATCCTTTTTCAAGATGTTAGAGGCCCGTCTGTGCTTTTCCCACGGATCCGGATTTATGCGGAGTTCCTGCCAAAACAGCGGCCAGAATTGCCTGCTACTCCTTTCCAAAGCTCTTGTGGAGCTGCAGATGAGCTGAGTCGCATGGTCTTCTCGAGCAAGTCGGAATCTCGTTCAAGAATATCGTCCTCAGCTAAATGCATTGCTGCCTCTACAGCATGTTGCACCACTCACGCTATGATCTGTAACTCTTGAGCACGGCGTCAGATTGGAGGCCTCTGCCTTATGATCCTGCTTGGAGATTCTCGTCTGTGCCATACCCAGGATGGAAGACTCGATGTTCTTCAAGGTTGCGGACTCTGGAGTCGTGAGCTTCCTGGGCGTGAATTATTATAGGCTTCATGCTAAGGCAACATGGACAAGACATGGCACCGCCAAGCCACATTCGCCTAGTCATCTTCTCCTCGATGAGCTTCATCCTCGATTTTCAGCACTTCGCAATACACTTCATCTGTGCAGGTAGCTTCAAGCATCTTCAGGCGGTGTAGGTGCCGGCACGGGGCTGAGAAGCAAGAGTTGCTGCCTGGACTAAGGGGACCAGAAGCGGAAGAAGGCGTATGAGCTGCATTGTCCTGTGGTGGATGCTTGCAACAACTCAGCGTACTTCTCGTATCAACCCTGTCACACATCAACAGGCCGGATCAATGACCACAGTGCAAACGCAGCCCCATGAAGACTGTCCTGGATGCCCAGTTGCAGAGAGGTGTAAAAGGCGTTTGCACAACTGCAGGGACGCGGAACAACCTCTCCTTCACTTGAGCCGAAGCATGGCAGCAGAACAGAAAGAAAAGGCACCTTTGACTCTAGCATTCCCTAGGCCCTAGTGTAGCCATCCTAGCTGGGACTGTTCGGATCTCTGAGCCTTGGACCACTTGGCTCGAGTCATTCCAGACTCGTCGCCTGCTGTCAGTCCTGACGACCAAGGGGCAGTGTGGGACGTCGCTTCAGAAGCATCGTGGTGATCCCCGCCTCTGTAGGAGCGATCACGGAGGCTTGGAGGGATTTGGCAAACCCAGACATCTGCGCTCCAGTGCGGCTGCCCGCGACACTTGAGGCAAAGATGCTGCGGTGGGCGCTGATGGCTGCCGGTCAACACGGATCGAATGTGTGTCGGTTTGGATGCTGACAGAAACAGCTGCAGTCAATGCGAGTCGTCACGCCAACGTGGGCACGGCATCGAGAGTTGGTCAGAAACTGTCAGAAGTTGCTCCAGGGACTGCATAGGGTTGCTGTAGGGGAATGGGAGCAGCTAGAATCCGTATCGATTCGTTGCCTCATGGTCAACCAGCCTTTCCAGCAGCATGTCAGAACGGTCCTTGCAAGCTTTCGTTGGGCTTTGTCGTGAAGGTTGGTTACGGCACTGTTACGGCTGCCTGTTTGCAACTGAGCTGAGGAGGTGACCATGGAGTCCATATCGAGGATATCAATCCAAGCAGAACCTCCTGTGGAAGGGATGAAAGCTAAGGGTGCCAAAAATGCGTCTGCTTGAGTGCCAGCCTAACGGTTCTAACGACTACTTCGCCCTAACGTGTCTTCCCAGGACGACTACCTTAGCAGCGCATGGAGTCCAGGTAGTTGAACCAACGCACGTAAAAAGGACTGCAAGATACTACAAGGCACCTCCCCCGAGCAGAGCGCAGTCTGGGTAGTCGTGCCACGACACGCCGTCTGCCAAGACCAGCACCACGCGCATGGTGCCTGAACGCGAAGCTCCGACTGGTGGAGATGGTGCACACATATGTGCACACTATCATGCCTTGGCTTTGCTCAGTGTAACCGTCGTCCAAGAACAACGGTCTGTGTTTCGAGCCCTTTCCGAGATTCACACCTGTCAGCTGCGATGGCGCAAAGAATTGCTCCCATCCGTCCCATGGAGTGTGGACGTTGAGGCAGTGCAGGCCTCCGGCAGAGTCACCCCACGGGGCTGCTGACTGAAATGTGCTGAGCTTTTTGTGTAATCCTTCCTTCCTTGTTCCCTCCCTCCTCGGGCTTCTTCCTGAAAAACTGACTGAAAGTCCATGTGCACCGCCTGAGGCCCTCACAAATTAATGTACAAGAGTGGCCAGTCACCTCGAGTAAGACTTCAGCAGCTTTCGAGAAAGACCTGCATCTGGGGCCCGGTCCCTTGGAGCAATCAAGGGCACAGCCTGCAGACATCTGAAAACACTTCTGAAGAGCGGTGTAGGGCACGGCACATCGCGGATCGTCACGCAGCTCACTGCCTTGTCAAAGTCTTCCAGGGCCTTGAGCGGCAGTCGGACCACCTTTGCACATGCTCCCATGTCTGGTTGTGCTAGGACCTAGGAAGCTTAGGAAGCTGCCTCGATGCCAGACATCGCCTGGTGCTCGATACCTGGCACTGGTAGAAGGGGATGGTATGACCTGAGAGTGGGAGCGCCAATATGTGCATCAATACATGCACCATCGGAAACTTATCTCCTCACATCTTCCGCCACTGTGGGGCCAGCACGTGCTTCCCACGATGCTTCCGCGACAGTGTGCACAATCGCATTCCTTGCGCCAGTGCCGGGTGGAAGAGCATCTTGACTCAGCAGATCTACGACGTGGGCCTCCCAATCCTCGTCATCCCAGTCTTCGTCGTCTTCCTCCTCCCGTTCTCAACATGCAACACCCATACAAAATGCGCAGTCAACCACATCTGTGCAAAGATCCGAGTATCTCTACACTCAACAAAGCTTACTGATTATCACTACACAGGGAGGTTGCCTAAATGTCTTTGCCTGAA